TTTGTTGTAAACAGCATGAAAATAAAGCCTGACTGACTCACGTCTGGTTCTGTTGTAAATACCATGAAAATGAAGCCTGACTGACTCACGCTTGGTTCTGTTGTAAACAGCATGAAAGTAAAGCCCTACTGACTCACGCCTGGTTCTGTTTAAACACCATGAAAATGAAGCCTGGTTGACTCACGCCTGGTTCTGTTGTACTTTGATTGCTTGAACTCAGTTTCAAAATTCACTTTTTTTTTCATATACAAGTACTCTTAACAAGTGAATGACAGCATTATCCCTATTTATGGAATGTTTTTAATTAGTTCTTCAGCTTTGAACTTTAATGAAACTTAATATTAAAAAATATCGATTAAACTTTCAATGTAAAAGCAATAAAGACGTTTCTTTCAAGTTAAGATGGATATAATGAAGTCTGATTGTTGGATATTATTTGGTCTGATTGTTGGATACTATCAGGTTTGAATGTTGTATATTATCAGGTCTAATTATTGAATATTACCGGGACTGATTGTTGGATACTATCAGGTTTCAGTGTTGTATATTATCAGGTCTAATTATTGAATATTATCGGATCTGATTGTTGGATATTATTAGTCTGATAATTGGATACTATCAGGTCTGAGTGTTTTATATTATTAGATCTAATTATTGAATATTACGGGGACTGATTGTTGGATACTATCAGGTTTGAGTGTTGTATATTATCAGGTCTAATTATTGAATATTATCGGGTCTAATTATTATTAGTCTGATAATTGGATACTATCAGGTCTGAATGTTGTATATTATCAGGTCTAATTATTGAATATTACCAGAACTGATTGTTGGATACTATCAGGTTTGAGTGTTGTATATTATCAGATCTAATGATTGAATATTACCGGGACTGATTGTTGGATACTATCAGGTTTGAGTGTTGTATATTATCATGTCTAATTATTGAATATTATCGAGTCTAATTATTATTAGTCTGATAATTGGATACTATCAAGTCTACTTGTATCCATGTTAACTTGGATGAAAAGTTGCCTTCTCTTTCATTGTGTATTTGTTCAAAATATTCTATTTTAACTGTTTTTGTTAATTTTAAATTTATACATTAAGAAGGTTCTAAATACACCCTGTACCACACTACACTTATTTATATTTTTCTCGGTTTCTATACGAGCGATATTAGAATATCTCGGTATGTAATGTATAATAAGCTGAGAAACTGTATTTACAGAAGCCATCTTAATCTATGCTTGATTACAGTGTGGTTAGTATAGACAAAAGGCTTATTTGAGTGCTTTACATACTGTAAATTCTAACTATCGTCAGTGGAGCTATTTTTTTAAACTGGATCCATGTTTATAAGGTGGGATTATGAGTAATAATCCATGTTGGATCACTGCTACGTTGCACACGTAAAAACAAACTTATCCCATTATGCCTCATAATTCTTATGCTGTGTTTTGCTTTTTTTTGCTGTTAAGCACAAGGCTACACAGTGAACTATCTGTGCTCTGCCTACCACAGGTATCGAAACTCAGTTTTTAGTGTTATAAGCCTATAGTCTTACCGCTGTACGACCGGGGGAAGGGAGAGGCGTACTGTTGTAGTATACCAAAGTAGTGGTATTCTATTCAGCTAAATCAGACGATATTGCTGATATTTCACCACAGATTGTTAAACTTGTTACTAGCAGGATAAAGTACCACTACTTTGGTATACCACAACAGTAACAAGTTTAACAATCTGTGGTGAAATATCAACAATATCGTCTGATTTAGCAGGATAAAGTACCACTACTTTGGTATACCACAACAAGCAGTATTAACAATTTTAACACTTAACAATTTTAACACAATCTGTGGTGAAATATCAACAATATCGTCTGATTCGTGTGTCGTCTTTTAAAATCTCATAACATAGATAAATTGATGTATAAAAATATGCATGGATTGTTCTCTAGGTTAAGCACTTTCGGACTTTTCACCAAAGTATTCATCGGCCCACAATTTATTCGTTTGTAAGTGGAACAATTTTCAGAAGCAGGTATCTAAGCAACAATAACTGACGTCTGCTATTAAAGTTAACATGTAGAAATTGCTGAAAACGAATTATGGCAGGTACAGAATTAATATGAAAAGATTTAAACTTTTACATAAATCGATTAATGAAAATCTTGGTCTTTGTAGCTGTATAACAACATAAATATATTATGTTCTCTGTTGAAATATATCCAACAATTACTTGAATAAAATAAACACGATAATAAAGTACAATCAAACGCATCATACAGAAACAAATGTTCAGATTTCAATTATTATATTACAGAATTATTGGTTACGAGTAAAACACAAAAGAAAAACATATAAAGGTTTGATTACATGTTCATACGAAGATAAATGTTTCATATATTTGATAAATGGTGTCCATACGGTACTTAGTTGTTGTTCGTTGTTTTGGTTACTATTCACTGGTGGTCCACCATATTGTAAATGGTGTCCATTCGGGACTCAGTGTTTGTTCGTTGTTTTGGTTATTATCCACTGGTGGTGCGCTGTGTTGTAAATGGTGTCTATACGGTACTCAGTTGTTGTTCGTGGTTTGGTTACTATCCACTGGTAATCCACTGTTTTGTGCTTGAATGACAATTGCTTGTTTGATTTTTTCAGTTTCTTTATTTTTTTATTTTTAATTTCTTTATGTGGTCGTTTTCCTGAACGTGAAACGCTATATTTGTTATGTTTATAGAAGAGGTTTTAATGGCTATTTGGTGTTCTTTGAACCGTACCTGTACTGGGCGTCGTGTTTCTCCACTGTATTGTTTATTACGTTAGCACCGAGTTCTGTTGTCCAAGTTTTTTTTTATGAGAGAACTGAGAGCTGGGGATTTTATCTTCGTGTAGTATAGGAGGAATTGTGAAGACTAAGGTGACGTCATGTTTATTCACCAGTCCTCGACGTTTTCCCGCGAGGCTTGGTACATAAGATAAAAAAAATATGTTTGTTTTCTTTCTGTTGTGGTTCGATAGTACTTGATACAGGTTGACCAATATAATATTCAATTTATTGTGTTCTTGAGATAATTGTTATTTTTGAAAATGTTCTCAAGATTTGTTTAAAAGTTTTTCGTCTTGGAACATATACTCGTTGCTCTTAGTGTTTTAATAATCCCAATTTTGACAGAAATTGTGTGACGTGAACGAAACCTAGATATATATTTTTGAGCCTTTGTCCGATGAACGGCACTGATCAGTTTTTTGTTTTACTCTTGTGTCCCTCTGAACCAGAACCAGAATGGAAGAGTTATTGACTTCAAGTTCTATGGAAAATTTGATGTTGTTAAATTGGCTGTTTAGGTGAATAAGAAAAGTTTTGAATTAGATATTTCAGAATAATTTGCGTGTTATTGAATATTTTGTTGTAGTTTGTGTGTTATTAAATATCTTGTTGTAGTTTGTGTGTTATTGAATATTTTACAGTAGTTTGTGTGTTATTGAATATCTTGTTGTATTTTGTGTGTTATTAAATATCTTGTTGTAGTTTGTGTGTTATTGAATATTTTACAGTAGTTTGTATGTTATTGAATATCTTACAATAGTTTGCGTGTTATTGAATATCTTGTTATAGTTTGTGTGTTATTGAATATCTTGTTGTAGTTTGTGTGTTATTGAATATCTTGTTGTAGTTTGTGTGTTATTAAATATCTTGTTGTAGTTTGTGTGTTATTGAATATTTTACAGTAGTTTGTATGTTATTGAATATCTTATAATAGTTTGCGTGTTATTGAATATCTTGTTGTAGTTTGTGTGTTATTGAATATTTTACAGTAGTTTGTATGTTATTGAATATCTTACAATAGTTTGTGTGTTATTGAATATCTTGTTGTAGTTTGTGTGTTATTGAATATCTTGTAGTAGTTTGTGTGTTATTGAATATTTTACAGTAGTATGTGTGTTATGAATATTTTATAACAGCTTGTGTATTATTGAATATTGTACAACAAATTATGTATTATGAATATTTTATAGCAGCTTGTGTATTATTGAATATTTATATAACAAATTATGTATTATGAATATTTTATAGCAGCTTGTGTATTATTGAATATTTATATAACAAATTATGTGTTATGAATATTTTATAACAGCTTGTGTATTATTGAATATTGTACAACAAATTATGTATTATGAATATTTTATAGCAGCTTGTGTATTATTGAATATCTATACAACAAATTATGTATTATGAATATTTTACCACATAATGTGTGATAATAAATATCCAAAGGTTTGTGCCATTGTATTACACTTTGTTTGTTTATTAATATTTCATCATTGTTCAAGTTTTAGTGTGTTTATGTGTTATTGGATGTTTCACAACAGTTTATGTGTTAGGGGATGTTTTACCATAGTTTATATGTTATTTGATGTTTTACACCAGTTTATGTGTCATGGGATGTTTTACAACAGTTTTTGTGTTATTTGATGTTTTACAACAGTATGTGTTAGGGGATGTTTTACCACAGTTTATGTGTTACTGGATGCTTTACAACAGTTTATGCGTTATTGGATGCTTTACAACAGTTTATGTGTTATTGGATGTTTTACAACAGTTTATGTGTTATGGGATGTTTTACAACAGTATGTGTTAGGGGATGTTCTACAACAGTATGTGTTAGGGGATGTTCTACAACAATTTATATGTTATTGGATGTTTTACAACAGTTAATGCGATATAAGATGTTTCACAATAATTTGCATGTTGACCTATGTTTTACAACAGTTTGTATATTATTGGATGTTTTACAACAATTAATGTTGACGGATATTTTATAACAGTTTGTATATTATTGGATGTTTTACAACAATTAATGTTGACTGATATTTTATAACAGTTTGTATATTATTGGATGTCTTACAACAATTGATGTTGACTGATATTTTATAACAGTTTGTATATTATTGGATGTTTTACATCTGTTTGTGTGTTGATGGATGTTTTAGCAGCGTTCACCTGCTAATGACCGTCTTCTACAGAAGCAGTGTCAACTGATTCACCAGTTAGAGGAGGAACTCCGGAATGCTCACATGAAAGGTCAGGAAACTGAAGTTCAACAACATCTTAAAGACCTCTACAACGAAAAGGAACATATGAGGAAAGAAATGTTTCTGTTGAGAGAAACTGTCAAGGTATTCACCCCTGTCTTGCTTTGTTTTATGCAGGATTATGCTTTTAAACAGCTTAAGTAAAAATAATTTAAAAACTTGTCACAGGTAAAGTTTAGGATTAGTTAAAGAAAGAGCAAAGATTTAGCATTATGGAATTCTCTAACATTTTGTAACTTTGTGGCTGATCGTGTATGAAATTCTCTGTCAGTGATAAATTAGATACGTCTTGATATATATTTTATAAAGTAATTAAAGGATAATAGGAATTTATAATACTATATCTATGATAAGGCAAAACTACTGTTATAGCAAATGTCACTCCCCTCTCAAATCATTGGTATGCAACGTGTAGCATGGTTACCACGAGCAACAAGAGTAGCCCCATACTGATGTTATATGCAGTTATAGTGCAGGACACTCCTTCCAATTTCTTTGTAAAGTATGGTGTAATAATTTGTGCACTAACACAGTGTCCAGTTGCGACTGTGAACATCTGACTCAGTCTCGGAACGTGTACCATACGATTGACACATAACGATGGAATGCTTATGTTATGGTTAATGGCCTGCTTTGTCCAAGCTATTTTACGTTAGCCTGCTGGGTTTGGCCAACTCTACCTAATTGAAACATACACGTCTTCTTTGAGATCTAGCTGTGGTTCATGGGACTTTTCAGGCACTTTAACTATGTGATTCACTTCAAACTGACAACTGTGAGATCAGTACAGAGGATTATTTACACATTGTAGGAACGATCTGCATGTGCTAAATCATATCTGCTTGTGCTAAATCAGAACTGCATGCGTTAAATCAGTATTTGTTAGCCGTTGTTCAATGTGTGGTATGATTAACACACATATATTTAACTTCAATAGCGAAACACTAGACGGTACATGACTGTTATGGGTATCTAATGGTTGGAAGAGCTTGCCATACCATTTACTGAAGAAAAATGTGAAATAGTGAGTTTATTAAACGATGTAGATTCAGTTCTTAGCAATACTCACATTCGTAAGTGAAGGCTACATTACAAAAGGGAAATCTCCACCCCCCACCCCCCAAAAAAAACATTGCGATGAATCTGGGTATATTCCAACCCCAAAAACTGTTATGGTGGATCTGGGCATATCAGCTATTAATGTTAACAAGGAAATGAAAGGGATTTCAAGTTGGTAAATATTTACCAACATACTACCACTCCTCTAAATCAACGGTTAGCTGGTAAAGATTTACCAACATCCTACCGCGCCTCTTAATCAACGGTTCATTTCGTGAGGAAGGAAAAACAGGAAGCAGAGTAATTGCACTACACCACATGTCCCCTCATGTCATGCCCCCTAATGTCATGTCTCCTCATGCAGCTCTAGTTGACTTTTATACTCTCGGTCTGATTAAAGATGATAATAACAGCTGACATCCATGTGCAATGAAATTCTTTTTAAGGTACATAATCTGACATTGGTCTTGCTGTCTATCTACTACAATATAAGATACAGTGCTGGACAATAGTGCATAATAGTGGCTATTAGATAGAGTGGAATTAAAGGTTGAGAAAGTATCACAGGACTTGGTTCGTTATTCTTGTAAAGTATGTATAGGCTTAAAAAACAATCATTTTGCATTTCAGATCATTAGACTTGATCGTCATATCCTTAACTTGCATAAAAGTCGTTTTGTTTTGTTATAGTGGTGGCCAGTGAGTAGGGTGTTGGACTATGGTTCATGATTCGTGCCTTAGTGGTGGCCCAGTGAGTAGGGTGTTGGACTATGGTCCCTGATTCGTGCCTTAGTGGTGGCCACTGAGTAGGGTGTTGGACTATGGTCCATGATTCGTGCCTTAGTGGTGGCCCAGTGAGTAGGGTGTTGGACTATGGTCCATGATTCGTGCCTCAGTGGTGGCCCAGTGAGTAGGGTGTTGGACTATGGTCCATGATTCGTGCCTTAGTGGTGGCCACTGAGTAGGGTGTTGGACTATGGTCCATGATTCGTGCCTTAGTGATGGCTCAGTGAGTAGGGTGTTGGACTATGGTCCATTATTCGTGCCTTAGTGATGGCTCAGTGAATAGGGTGTTGGACTATGATCCATGATTCGTACCTTGTTGCTACCACAAACAAATTACAATCTGCAATTTGGGGATGTGGGTGCTTTAGTTCAAATTATATATATATATATATATATATATATACAGGTTTTTTTTATAAAGCCAGTTATAATATTCTATGGGGCGAAATGTGTAATGTACAGGCAGGCACACATGCTAGGGCGAACTTTTTAACGTATTTGTAAAATATTTTGTTAAATACTTATAGATGGATAAATAATTCATTCCACTAGGAGCAAACGTTCAGTGTTCATACCACAATTTCCTATTACTGCATCCTCCCTGAAAATTGTTATTGAAATTAGTAATATCTCACCAGGAATCGCCCTGTCATCTGCTACAAAGAATCTCCATAATCAGTACTAAACAGAGGGTGAGGCTGGAGAAGTATAATGGCCAGGATGATAAAAGTGATTGCTGAGACAACAACTGTTGTTTGCAGCAGTATGCCTGGATTTCTGCTCCTGTAATGCAGCCATTGTGATGGTCCACCAACACAATCTGTTGTTCCGACTTAACATCTTACTTGGCCTTCTATTTTTTCCGTTTCATTCCAGTCTAATTTGCATGTGCAGTGCCCTCTAGTGCCACTTCCAGAAACTATTGCAATGTACCCTCCGTGATTTTTTACGCATTATTTAGCCTGTATGTCTACATTAACTCTATAACCACCACCTATGTATGATTAACATAGTTAATGTTATGAATATGTATCGTTTTTACATTTAGAATTTCATTATTTCTTACCAATAATTAAAAACATAATCAACTTAAATTATATTTAAACCTTTGGTTTTCTTACAGATAGTTCCGATTGGATTTCTAACCTTACATTCTTAGTACGTGAAGTAAACAATATTGTCTAGACAGACTAATGATCTTATTTTATTGGCAGATCCAAGGTAATGTATCTTACGAATCATTTCCTTTAGATTATCATAATAAACGTACTACAGGCCTGCTATAAATGCTATAAACAAAATGGTTTTGTTGAAAATGTTCTACGTCAGACAACACATGTAAACCAAACACATGTACCATTCACTGGCTTATAACTTCTATTGGCCCAGATGTTAACATCCAAGGCTGTTATACGGAAGGTCCAAAGTTCTAGAGTCCATTAAAGAAGTGAGGTTGCCATAACTCTGACTGTCAGTCAGTAGCCTTACAAATAGGTGATTGATGCTGCTGAATAGTTCAGCAGCTCAAAATTAGTTATAGTGTTAAGCCTAAGTTCTGGGGTCTCTGAATTGTCTGTTTATCACCTGTGTGGCAAAAGATACAGTTAAAATTAAAATACAAATTTTATGTAAGTTATATTTATTTAGACTTTGACTTTGTACAGGACTTGGAGATGAGAAATGAAAATCAAAAACAGATGCTAATATCCAAAGAAGAGAACGTCAAGAGACTAATGGAGATTCACCATAGTAAAGGCACAGGTACTTTTATTTACAACGTATCCTGAACTCAAAACTATAGTTTTACTTTGTGAGGTAAGATTAAAGACATGATAACATGAACAGACTCACTCTTATCTGGTCCCGTTTGAGTCTTTATTAAAATATTACGAATAAGGAAACGAAAATAGATTTCTATCACCCAGTTGACACCTTAAGACTTGTTACATATGTTATCAATATGAGAACAATAAGACAAAGAATTATAGCGAAGCTTACAACAGATTATTAAAAAAGATTATTAAACCAGAAATAGATGTTTACTTATGAATACGAGAAAAATAAGAGCACTACTTTTAATTATTCTGTTCAATGAATAAAGAAGAAGGAAAAAAAACAGTGGGAAATCATTATCTGTGCACGTGTTAAACTCCGGGTTATCACCAGTCGTCTAATACAACTAAATATTAGAAATAACCAAGTAAGGAAACTCATTGATAACCCTTAAGTTACCGACTTGTTTTTATACCGATGGGGTTCATATATTTGTTTTATTATATTCAGTACTTTAACGGGTTTTTTCCTATATCAATTTTCAGTGGAAATAATTGACCAGCAAGGGTGAGGAGTAAATAATTAGCCCCAGATAGCTCTTGTGTAACTTTGCACCAGAATTATTAGACAAAATCAAAATAACTAATATGTCACTGAGACGGGTGGTGGACACTTAACGTTATTTCTTATGTCTAAGTCCAGAGGTAGTGTTTAAAATATAATCTTGTCTCTAGGTAAGCTGAGGGAAGAAGAACGACTTGAAATGGAGAGACTTAAAAACAAGTATATAGAAGCTGAGGCTAAAGCACGCCATCTAGAAGGACTGTTAGAAAGCAAAGACCGAGAGTTCGGAAAGGTCAGCTTACTGTACAAAGTGGACTCTGATATACCACAAGTTTGATGTGTTGTTTTTCCGTTAGCACATAACCATTACAACAGTAATTCCAATTGATGTATCGGGCGTGACCTAGACTGTGAAACCGAGGATTTTTGGCTCGCAAGAGTTTGACGCAAAAATGTACAACGATCTTCGAGGTCCTGGGTACGTTATAGGAGTGACAGTTAAATCCCACTGTTCCATCAGGCAAGATTAGCCTAAGAATTGGCGGTGGGTTCTGTTGATTAGCTGACTTATCTCTATCCTATCGGTTCAAAATTAGGGACAAATGTGCGGTGATAGCCTTTGTTCAGAGAGGACCGGGCCACTTTTATCTTTTGAGGCCCGTGGCTGTAATAATAAAAAATAAAAATAAGACATGAAAACAAAATAAGCCAATCATTAGCCCAAAAGAAAAGTGAAACATAATTTGTATATATAATTTTCAGCTCTAAGCTAAGAGTGTGTATCACATTTTGGTGTGATTAGGAAGCACATAAAAACAAGTTTAATAGATGCAAAAAATAACAAGTGTCTAAATTTGAGGCTCCCTTTGAGCTTGAGGCTCGGGCCAGTTGGCCCTAATTACCTGAGTATTATGTAAAGTGTGCTCCAGTAAATTAAACAAGCAGGGAAATCCTGAATTTACTTAATTAAGTGTACGTGGACATCTATTGACCAGTTTGTGTACTGACAAAAATACAATTAACTGATATGATAATTTGCCTTACTGTTTGAATGTGTTTTAAATATTAAAATTTCGTAAAATCTATGAATTAGTAAATTGTTGTAGTCTGTAATTGTCTCTGTATTGTCCTTATTTCAAAAAATAAGTAAATTTGAGCTTCAAAAGGCACATATTTCTGCCTTCTCGTATAAAACGCTCAATTAAAAAATATTAATTACGGCAGAAAACATACATTTTAGACGTGTTTTTCTGTTTGTGTATATTGTAATAATTCCCAGTGGATATTTAATAGGAACGTATTTAATAGTGCTAATAGATATATGAAAGTGTTTTGATAAAGTTATTATACCTTCAACAACTCAAAAACTTATCTTCACTGGACTATAATGGTTGACGAAGTGATCAGATGATGGGAATGGGATTTCACTATCACAAGGAAGCGTTATAGTGCTTGTTTGTGTTTAAAACAAAGCCACATTGGGTGTCCACCGAGAGGAATCGAACTCCGGAATTTAGCGTTGTAAGTCTGTAGACTTACCGCTTTCCCACTGGAGGACACACTATAGTGAAACTTGCATAGCGGAGACTGTATAAAAAGATCATGAAATATTATGAAACATTACAATTATTCTAGGTCACGAAATATCCCTGGCAGCTTGTCTCTCAACATTAGAATTATTCTAGATCATGAAATATCCCTGGCAGCTTGTCTCTCAACATTAGAATTATTCTAGATCATGAAATATCCCTGGCAGCTTGTCTTTCAACATTAGAATTATTCTAGATCATGAAATATCCCTGGCAGCTTGTCTCTCAACATTAGAATTATTCTAGATCATGAAATATCCCTGGCAGCTTGTCTCTCAACATTAGAATTGTTCTTGTAAAGCAGTAGTTCTCGATCTTTTTACCACTTTGTGTTTAATCCTTTTTTTAATTACAAATTCAGGTTAAATTAAACAAAAACACAAACGAAAAACCAAGTAACAAAAATTAATATTTTAAACACGTACCCATTAGTGGGAAGATTGTGAATGTTTTTTTCTGCCACAATTGAATAATATTTGATGTGATTCTTGTCAATTCGAAGGGAAGAAAACAGGTGGCAAATCCAGAAGTGAGGAGAATAGTCTGTAGATGTACACAAGAAGCTCATATTAGGCTTATTACAAATTTTATAACTTTTCTTAATTAAATTTTTCACGTATCACCGACACTAGCGCCACGTACCACAGTTTGAGAATCAATGTCATAAAGCGTCGAAGTAAGAGTGTAACCATTAGGCTTATCGGGAGCTTACGAACACATATGATCAAGGAGGATCAGTTGCTGGAGTTTCTTATCATTCTTATACTTCAGAGAAGAGGACTTGAATGAACCAGTTCTCACCCCTCCCAGGTGTACGGACCGTAGAGACAAGATTTTAGGGATCGAGCAGTGATTTTCAACACACCTGACCATCAAAGTCTCCTTTGCTGGTTTTTGGCTATGGATCATCTGAGTTCTTTAATGTGCCCGCAACCTTGACGGACTTGAAATATATCACAAGAAACTAAATAAAGTGCAACTCTTGGAAGTCGAACGATATCATTCAGCTGTATAAGAATAAACATGTCACATAAACATTGTTGACGTGTTGGTTGTTCGAATTTCGCGACCATCGCCCTCTAGTGATAATTATTTTTAACTCTGGATTAATTTATTTTTATGGTTGTTTCCTCTACCGAATATTGTTATTGATTGATAAGTTGTGGAATTATGGAGATTATAATATATATATATATATATATCGATTATTTCCAAATCACTCAGTAAATATTTAGATGACGCCTTCTATTTTTTGTTATATATATATATCAGTTATTTCCAAATCACTCTGTAAATATTTAGCTGACGTCTTCTATATTTTGTGTTATATATATATCGGTTGGTTCCCACTCACGCTGTAGAAATGTAAACAGCGCCTTCTATAATTTGTTTATAAAATTTTTTATCGCATTTGATAGGTGGACGAGTTACGATACGAGGTGAACAGGCGAGACCAAGAAATTATGGCTATGAATGCAAAGATGAGGACCCTTGATGAACAACATCAGGACTACCAGCGTCACATTGCTGTTCTTAAAGAATCGCTGTTTGCTAAGGAAGAACATTACAATATGCTCCAGTCTGACGTACGAAACTTTAAACAGATACTCAAAATAGATATAACTTAGTACTTGTATAAGCTACGTTGTTGATAGGCTATAAACCACCTGGTGGCAAAAAATCATTAATCTGTCTCTCTAATTGAAAGATCAGTAGAATTAATCATAGAATTTCTCACTCGAGAAGACTTACAAGTAATGAAGCATTTGTTTTTGATAAATTCTTTTTGAAAAAGCTCTCGAGATAGCTATTTTCTATGGTCTATGGATGAGAGTTTTGACTATTTTTTTTATTAAATGCCCTGGAATAAAGCTCTTAAAATGGGAGTATAATCCAGAAAAAAAGTTTTCTGATGAAAGCAATCAACTTGAAAGTATCCACGATAGGTAATGACTTTGGTATCCAAACAAAATAACTGTCAGTTACTTTTTCCTTCAACGATAAGAACTGGTATCTTGATTACTCAGGTAATCAAGGAACGGTTTTTTTCCTTGGACTTGTATAATATGTGTCTGAATTCATCAGATTTTCTAAGAATAATCCCATAGCACAAGTTGTTAAAGAAAGATATGACAAAGTATTATCGAAAGGTAGGATCCCCCCTGAAACAGCGTTTTAGTTTGCTGGCTTGCAACGCTAAAATCCGGTATTCGATTCTTCGTGGTAGACACAGCAAATAACCCAATGTGAATATAAGTTTCAAATGGACAGCAACTGCCTGTTGTAGAAACCTACAAATGTAGAGGAAGATGTTTCGAAAGTCTTCCGCGTCAGACTTTCGAAACGTTGTCCTCTACATTTGTAGGTTTCTGTTCATTTGAAACTTATATTCATTATGGATACTCTGCCTAAACAACCTATCAAAGATTAGCCCAATGTGGCTTTGCTCTAAAACAGACCAAAAGATAGAAAAAAGTTTTGTTCAACTACAGAGAAATAGATGTCATGTAAAAATAGATGTAATGTAAATTTTCTGAAATAAAGTAAACAAAATAACGTCTCTTCTAATATTTTAAAGTTTAGAATTTCGTCCAAACAAGTACAAAACAGCAACCAATAAATCATTGTAAGAAAAAGTTATCTGAATGATAAGGTTAATGTGAAATGGTCACTAAACACGAAGTAAAATCCCACTATAAAATAGGATTCATATCTTTAAAAAACAATGTAACTTTAGTGACGCAGAGAATAAAAACAATTCTAGTCAGAGGTTTGAAATATTCTATATAACACGAAAAGGTTAGGCTTTGATTTTTTGTTTTTAGATAACATGAGAATTATTCTTAGAAAATTTGAAAGTTCCATATTGGCCAAATGATATAAGCTATCAAGAGGTTTGTACTTTGATATATAAATGATATATAAACATTCATTTAAAAGAGCCAATGTGCCAGTTTTTTTATTAAACTATTTCCGAAACGTTAAGCCTTTTTTTTTTTTTGTGGAATTGTGACTTTGATATACCCATGCGAATCAACAAAACGTTTGGGTTTAGGTAGAAGAAATGAGACAAAAGTTAGAAGAGAAAAATGCTAACATCGAGAAAAAGACTCAACAGGCCACCACAGCAACTCAGGAAAAGAATAGACTGAGTCAAGAAGTTCAAGAACTCAGGGACCACATGGAGATCAAAGACCGAAAAATTAATGTTCTTCAAAGAAAGGTGGGTGTATACAGAACAGGACTTCGGTTATAAATGTGAAAGGTGGGGGGGGGGTATACAGAACAGGACTTCTGTTATAAATGTGAAAGGTGGGGGGGGGGTATACAGAACAGGACTTCTGTTATAAATGTGAGATATTTATTCAACGCAGTCATGACGACTCGACCTTTGAATGTGGCTAAAGTTTCTTAGTGAAGTTCAATGATGTTGTATTTCATGTTGTTTTATTAAGAAAATTTATGAAACACTGACGATACACAAAAAGTTTGTAGAATCGTGTCAAGACGTCACTTTGTGTCTTCCAAAGAGACAGCCAGAGGAATAAAACGTTACTGCGATTCTTTTACACTAACATCTACTGAATGAGTCACCAACAAACGAAACCCAGTCTATTAAATATCCAGCTTTCTTTTTGTCAGCATATTCATTAGTACTCTAACCAGGGTTTTCCAATCTAGGGGCCCCGTGGATCGTAGCAAATACACAGTACTGTTAAGGAAAGTGGCACGGAGGTCGTGGCAAATACACAAGTTACACAGTACTGTTGAAGTACTCATTATCTATAGTTGTATTGTATGGTGTGGGTGGGGGCTCAGTCAGGATGATGCACGTTTGTGGGTGAATGCCTTGTGCTGAGAAACTTTGGGAACCCACATGCCAATGCACAGTGGCTTGTGGTTGATTTTGAATTTAGCGCAAAGCTACACGAGGGCTATCTGCGCTAGCCGTCCCCAATTTAGTAGTGTAAGACTAGAGGGAAGGCAACTAGTCATCACCACCCACCGCCAACTCTTGGGCTACTCTTTCACCAACGAATGGTGGGATTGACCATCACATTATAACGCCCCCACGGCTGAAAGGGCGAGCATGTTTGGTGTGACAGGGATTCGAACCCGCGACCCTCAGATTGCGAGTCGAGCGCCCTAACCACCTGGCCATGCCGGGCCTACACAGTGGCTTGTGATGGGTAGAAAGGATTAGTAAGAGAAATAAACGTGTTTTTCTTTTGAATCCAAAGACGAACCTATAAAATATAATCTTTAAAAAAATGATCATTTCTTAAAATTCATAAATATTCTAAAATGTATCTCAATAAATTAAACATCCCAGTTTCTTTTGCTATTTTTTATGTAAAGGCTGAAATGATGTAGTTTGTTTGTTTGTTTATTAAATTTCGCGCAAAGCTGCACGAGGGCTATCTGATCTAGTCGTCCCTAATTTAGAAGTGATAGACCAGAGGGGAGGCAGCTAATCGCGTTGGGTGTTGTTGACTAGCTGCCTTCCCTCTAGTCTATCACTGCAAAATTAGGGACGACTAGCAGCGTTGGGTTTTTTTTACTAGCCGTCCCTAATTTTGCAGTGATAGACCAGACAGTAGTCAGCTAGTCAACAACACCCAACGCGACTAGCCGTCCCTAATTTTGCAGTGATATACCAGACAGTAGTCAGTTAGTCAACTACACCCGACGCTGGTAACCGTTCCTAAATTATCAGTGATAGACTAGACAGTAGTGAGTTAGTCAACTACACCCGACGCTGCTAGCCGTTCCTAAATTATAAGTTATTGACTAGAGGCAAGGCAGCTAGTTAACAACACCCGACGCCAACTTTTGGGCTACTTTTTGCCAAAAAGTGGGATTAACCATCACATCATAACGTCTTATATTTGAAGTTAAGCATCGTGTCATCATACCTGGGTGTCATTCTGGGCGCATTTTAGCCCCCCCCCTTAGTAAAAGGACTACATCATATAAATAAAGACATCCTTCTTGGCTACCTCGACTCCAACTGCCAAGTTTGGTTCAACATTGGGAAATAATGAGAAGAAGCAGACGCAATGCAGGCTGTGCTATTACATAAGGTAATGTTGGTAATGAGATGGAGGAGACGTAATGCAGGCTGTGCTATTACATAAGGTAATGTTGGTAATGAGATGGAGGAGACGTAATGCAGGCTGTGCTATTACATAAGGTAATGTTGGTAATGAGATGGAGGAGACGTAATGCAAAGTTTGTTATTACATAGGGTAATATTGGTGATGAGATGGAGTTAAAAAGGTAGGATTCTATTCTATCCTTCAGGTAACATTATCATATTCTAAACTTCATATAACATTATCATATTTTATCCTTCAGGTAATATTTCCAAAGTACAATACAAGAATTGTTTTAATCAGAAAACCTGTTATCATAAACCTCTGAGATCAACAAGTAAGTTCGATATTTTTCAAAATTTATCCTCTCGACTTCATGTTTTGCTGAAGAACGTGAACGTGCTTGTGCTCACCTCTCTCACCACCCAGGGCCTGTGGATGCTCCCTGTGTGAAATGGACTGTCTCAGAGAGAGTGGGTGATCTAATGGCATGGCCAGTGAAAACAAAAATAGAAAGGGGCGAAAGTAAATATTCACGGAGATCTTTGTAATGTATTTGGTATTCCTCTGGAAGGAGTTGGATAATATTTGAAGAACAGGATATAACTTTGTTAAGAGAAATTAAATATTACAAATATGAATACTTGGTCAATTTGTAAAATTATAGTAACTATTTAAGATTTTTGTAATTAGGATTTTGAACTAGGCTGTAATCTGTTTAGTTCGAGTATATTTTATTGTAACAGAATTGTTTTTAAAATTTAAAACCAGATTGAGAATCTCGAAGACTTGCTACGAGAGAAGGACAATCAGGTGGACATGGCAAGAGCCCGACTGACCGCTATGCAGGCTCATCATTCTTCTTCAGAAGGAGCTTTGTCCAGTTTAGAGGAGGCCATTAGTGACAAGGAGAAACAAAATGTTCAATTACGAGAACAACGAGACCGTGCTGAACAGGAACGGAACGAAGAGCGCGAGCTGCACGAGCGTGAAATAGCAGAATACAAAATGAAGATGCACGCTCTCGAGAGTGAAATGGACAAGCTTCAGATGAAGCTCGAAAAGGCAGCTGCAGAGAAGGACCGTGTTGAGGTGAGATTAGAAAACTCCCAGTCGGAGCTTGGTCAAGCCAGAGCAGAGCTGGAGAAGTTACAGTCAGAAGTAAACAAGTCCCAGATTGAATGGGAAAAGGGAAAAGGAGAAAGCTCCTGGCTCACCCTGGAGACTGAACGGCTGAGAGAACAGAACGAATGGCTAAAAGCAGAGTTAAGTAAGTCTCGAGATTCCTACGGCAAGTCAAGCGTGTACCAGTCGGATGAAGCGGAGCGGCTACAAGAGAGATTAGAAAAGGCCCAGTCGGAATTACGTCGCGCGCAGGCCGAACTTCGAATGAACCAGGCAGAACAAGATAGAGCACGAGGAGAGGTGGAACAGCTTCAAGAAAAGATTGAGAGGTCTCAGGGTGAAGTGTATCGTTTGAAAGCAAAGTTAGAGAATGCACAGGCCGAAAGTCAAAACCTCCAAGAGGAATACGACAGAGTTCAAGCATTGGTTGCTCGTAGCCAATCAGAGCGAGACGTATCCATAGCCGAGACAGAGAAGCTTCGCAATGAGCTTGAAAGGGTCCAGGGATCTCTCGTCAAAACCCAACTACAACACGAAAAGACCCAGGCGACTTTAGATAAAGCTCAGCTAGATTGTGATAGAATTCAGGAAAAACTGGATAAGGCCAACAGTGAAATACGTAGACATCAAACTGAAAGAGAACAAGCACAATGCGAGATGGAGAGCGTACAGTCGCAGGTTTATCAATTACAGAGTCAAACTCAGAAACATCAGCGCGAGAAAGAGGTGGCGCTGATTGAAGCTGAGAAGCTGAAGGAGAAGCACGAAAGAGCACAGTCACAGTTACAGCGCCTGCAACGGGACAAGGACCTTTCTCACCATGAGATCGAGAAACTTCAGGAAAGAGTAGACCTGCTTCAAGCACAGCTGAATAAGTCTAACAAAGAAAAAGAAAATACTCAGGCGGAGTTTGAGGTCATCAAAGAAAGGTTTGAGAAGTCTCAGAACCAACTAGAGCGGTATCACGCAGATTATGACACTGCCCATACAGAGAACAGAGTGTTGAAAGAAAAGCATGACAAACTACAGCAGCAGTTACAGAAGCTGCAAGAAGATAAAGAAATGACAAGGGTTGAATGTGAGAAACTTCAAGGGAAGCTAGAAAGGAGCCAATCAGAAACGTTCAAAATCCAATCTAGGTATCACCAAGCACAAGCAGAAGTAGACAGACTAAATATAGAATTAGAAAAAGCTATAGTTGTTACAAACAAAACAAAAGAAGACTACAAAAAGACACAAGATGAACTCGAAGGGCTAGAAGAGATGTATTCAAGAACCAGCTCACAGCTTTCAAAAACAAAAGAGTCTGAGGAAAAGTTGAGAAACGAGCTCGACAGATGCCAGATGGACCTCGAGGTAGTTCGAGACAGGTATGAGAAATCTCAAGTAGAATTAAGACGAATTCAGTCAGAGCGAGATAAGTTACAAGCGGAAGTGGACCGAATGTCCATAGAACTGGACAGATTACAAACACAAGTTGGAAAGACGCAAACCAGTCACGAAAAGTCACAAGAAGAGGTTGCCAGAATGCACGTAGAGTTGGAAAAGGTGTATGAAAAATTGGACAGATGTCAGGTAGAGTTGAGGAAAACCCAAAATGAAAAAGATCGGATACAGACGGACAAGGAAAATATACAGTTGGAATTAGAGAGATACCAAACTCAACTTTTTAAATATCAAACAGTACAGGATAAATCTCAGTCAGAAGTGGAAAGGATGTATGTTGATTTTGAGAAAGTGAAAGATAAGTATGACAAAGCACTTGCAGACCTGGACAAAGCAAACGAGGAGAAGGAAAGATTAAATTTAGAATTAAAGACAATCCGGGAATATGATCTTAAACGCAATGGAAATGTTGTAGCACAAACTGAAAACTATAAAAGTTACGAAGAAACGGAGAAGTTGTGCATCGAAGTCGAAAAAATAAAAGACAAATATGAAAGAGCCTTACATGATATTAACCAACTTCAAGAAACGAAATTACGACAGCAGAGAGAGATCGAGAGCCTACAGTACGAGTTAGAAGCAGGCCAACCTAAGATTCATAGGGTGTCGTCATATGAGGGAAGGCATAAAATTGATTTTGAAAAAATGGTTGTTGAGGCAGAGAAAATGAAAGACAATTTTGAGAAAAAGGAATTGGAACTAGAGAAAATCAGGAGGGAGAAGGAGTCACTTCAAGAAGGAGTGAATGATCTAGAGACACGCTTAGGAGATGCTCTTGGCAAGCTGGAGACTTTTCGCACAAGTCAAGAACAGACCAGGTATAGCAGTGACGCAGAAGAAACTGAGAAGTTGAGGCAACAATTAAATAAAGTTGAATATGAACTCCAACAATCGCTTGCAGAGAACAACCGACTTCAAATACAAGTGGAGAGGCTAGAGCAAGATTTAGATGATGCTGATAAATATATTGCTGGTTATCATCAGGATCAAGAGAGTTCTAAAGAGGAAATTGGTAGGCTAGAAGAGGAAATTGGGCGACTGAGGGATAAGCTTGATAAATCTCAGGATGAGCTGTACTGTGCCGAGGAGGAACGGGAAGGATTGCAGCAGGAGACATTGCAATACCAACAAGATATTCAAAACACAAAGTCAACATTGGGGAGAATGCAAGACTCACAACATATTTCTAAAGCAGAGCTTGATAAGTCGAAACAAGAGTTGCAGAAGATGCAGAAGCAAGCAGAGAAAGTTGAGTACCAACTACAAAAGACCGAAACTCATAATCAAGAATTACAACAAAAACTAAGATGGGCCATGGAAGCTGTTTCCAACTACCAGAGGCAGGTGGAAGATGTTAAGGCTGAGTTAGAAAAGACAAATGAAGAAAGAAAAGAAATGAAAAACAAACTGCTAGCTGATAGACCTCTGTCGGGGGAGAATGATCAAAGAGAGATCGAGAACCTTCAACAGGAACTTCAGAATCAAAAGGCCGAAAGCCAGAGACTGATCCAAGAGATTCAGAGATACAGAGACCAACTGAGTCAAATTGATGAAAGTCATTGGACAAGTGAAGAATACGAAAGAGAAATAGAACAATTACATGAAGATCTAGAAAAACAGAAAGAAGAAAGTAAAAAAATGTCCAGCCAAATCCAGAAGTTTGAAAAACAGTTAGCACAATCACGAGATGAAACAAGGAACTTTTCGTTAGAGAGGGAACGTTTCCAACAACAGCTTGAGAAATTGGTAGAAGAACTAGAACAGAAACAGGTCAGCTTCGATATCTTTACATGTTTTTACCTCTTGTGTAAATTAAAAATGTAAGAAATTTAGCCATAAAAATAAGTTAAGACTAATAATTAGCATAGTATATTAGCACCCAGTATTATTTGATGCTAGATATAACTTAAAACTTGATAGATTACTTTTAATTACACTGGACAATGTTGTATATATGGATCTAATGGACATAGCAATAAAACATCGTTGGTTGTTTTGTCGTTATTGTATGCCAACTTTCGCGCAAAGCTACTGTAGAGTTATCTGCATTAGACGTCCCTGATTTTCAAGTGACAGATTTAATAAAAGACAGCTAGTCAACACCACTCACCGCCAACACGTGGGCTACTCCAGTCGAATTGTGAGATTTAATCGTCACTCTTATAACGTACCCATGTACCCAAAATGGGGAACGGAATTTTTTTTGTGGTAACGGGACCTGAACCGACGAACCTATGATCCACGGTTGGCACACAAGCCATTAGGCAGCGTTCGGCCCACTTGGTAATGGAGGCACCAAACAAACTGACTTACTGAAACTATAATCATAAGTAAGGTCTCTATCAATTACAGTCAAATCATACTACATTTCAAGGTTCGAACCTTGATTAGCTAGATGTTTTTGTTTAGTTTTCTTTGAGTCTGGTCTTTAATTTATCAGCAAATCAGTGAGAAAAACACTGAGCTAATTAAGCATATCCTATTTCAAGTATATGTTTCGTTACGTTATTATCAGGTATATGTTTCGTTACATTATTTCAGGCATATGTTTCGTTACGTTATTATCAGGTATATGTTTCGTTACATTATTTCATGTATATGTGTCGTTACGTTATTATCAGGTATAAGTTTCGTTACGTTATTATCAGGTATATGTTCCGTTATGTTATTGTCAGTTATATGTTTCGTTACGTTATTTCAAGTATATATTTCGTTATATTATTTTCAGGTATATGTTTCGTTATGCTATTGTCAGTTATATGTTTCGTTACGTTATTTCAAGTATATATTTCGTTATATTATTTTCAGGTATATACTTCGTTATGTTATTATCAGGTATATATTTCGTTACGTTATTATATTATATTATCATTTCTTTAATAATTTCACCAAAAATAATTGCTTTGTCGTAACAATTAACGCTCTTTATGTATTTAATGGATGTAACAACATGACTTGTGATGATATAATGGACACAACACAAAACGTTAGTTGTTTATGTATTTAATGGCTGTATCAACATGATTTGTGATGATATAATGGACACAACACTATACGTTAGTTGTTTATGTATTTAATGGATGTATCAACATGACTTGTGATGATATAATGGACACAACACAAAACGTTAGTTGTTTATGTATTTAATGGATGTATTAACATGACTTGTGATGATATAATGGACACAACACTATACGTTAGTTTGTTATGTATTTAATGGATGTATCAACATGACTTGTGATGATATAATGGACACAACACAAAACGTTAGTTGTTTATGTATTTAATGGATGTATTAACATGACTTGTGATGATATAATCGACACAACACTATACGTTAGTTTGTTATGTATTTAATGGATGTAACAATATGACTTATGATGATATAATGGACACAACACTATACGTTAGTTGTTTATGTATTTAATGGATGTATTAACATGACTTGTGATGATATAATGGACACAACACTATACGTTAATTGTTTACGTAATTAATGGATGTAACAATATGACTTATGATGATATAATCGACACAACACTATACGTTAGTTTGTTATGTATTTAATGGATGTAACTAATGTAACACGTATTTTGCTTGGTCTGTATGCATCAGATAGGTAGTTTAGTATACAGGTACACGATACCCATCAGATAGGTAGTTTAGTATACAGGTACGTGATAAGCATCAGATAAGCAGTTTAGTGTACATGTACGTGATAGGCATCAGATAGATAGTTTAGTGTACAGGAACGTGATAGGCATCAGATAGGTAGTTTAGTATACAGGTGCACGATACCAATCAGATCGTTAGTTTAGTATACAGGTACACGATACCCATCAGGTAGGTAGTTTAGTATACAGGTACACGATACCCATCAGATAGGTAGTTTAGTTGTACCTGTATACTACACTACCTATCTGATGGGTATCGTGTACCTGTATACTAAACTACCTATCTGATGGGTATTGTGTACCTGTACACTAAACTACCTATCTGATGGGTATCGTGTACCTGTATTGATACCCATCAGATAGGTAGTTTAGTATACAGGTACATGATACCCATCAGATAGGTAGTTTAGTATACAGGTAACACAATACCATCAGAAACATTCGGTACAATTTCAGAAACATTCGATATAATTTCAGAAACATTCAATACAATTTCATAATCATTCGATACAATTTTAGAAACATTCGGTACAATTTCAGAAACATTCGGTACAATTTCAGAAACATTCGGTACAATTTCAGAATCATTCGATACAATTACAGAAACATTCGGTACAATTTCAGAATCATTCGGTACAATTTTAAAAACATTCGGTACAATTACAGAAACGTTCGGTACGATTTTAGAAACATTCGATAGAATTTCAGAAACGTTCGGTACAATTTCAGAAACATTCGGCTCAGACAAAGGCCCAGTGGGAGTATGAAACCCGTTACCTTATAAGATTAGAAAAAAATAGAAATCGGAAGATATTTTATTTTAAAAAATCACATTGAGTTGGCTACACTTAATATTATCTTATTGGGGACAAACACAATTTAAGTAAAGCTATTGGTGCTGTCCTACTTGGTGTAAAGCCTGTTATGTCTCGGATCTTGATAAATGTTTGTGCCACGTAAACCGTTTCAGATGTATTGGTTGTATCGCATCTGGACAGTTGTAGTGGTATGTTGTGGTATGGGCTGTGTTCTGTAAGGATGGATGGGTTGAGACTTATCTGTGAAGCATATACATATAAATGCCACCGATTTCAATAACTTTGAATTAATACATATATAATTCTAAAGAAATAAAAAAGTATGAATGTTTTATGATGACTCGCTTAGAACACTGACACCAGCTCAATAGAACCTTTTTGGAAGGATTACATTAAAAGTTTGGCTCACACACAATCAACCTTCGTCTTCTCCTTAATTGGGCAATAGTTTGAAACAATGGTGGAGTCATGCTACAATAGATATACGACGGAATTTATATCACTAAAGCATGCCTTATTATTTGGGAAAGTGACCACTGGGACCCACCCTCTCTTTAACTTGTATACAAGTACTTTTAACAGGACGGTGTGTATTATTTGCTCATGAATCCAGCAAATTGTTCAGTGTTTATGTTCTTTCTTTTAGTAATTAAAAAGAACATGTTTCATAGAATTCAGTTTAGTGAATAACACCGGACTGTTTACATTATAGTTGGATCTGGAAGCCTTCCGTAACCAGCAGGGGGCGTCTCACCAGCAGCAGCAGGCTACCCAGCTGAGAGAGCTTAACAGGCAGTTGGAAGAGAAACAGCGTATTACAGAAGACTTGGAAAAAAAACTGAAGAAGAGAGAGGAAAACTTGAATCAGTTAGAAATGGCCCTCTCACAGGTTAATGTTCATGTTTTTGTGTTTAGTCGTGTCCTAGCTTAACAGTTGATAAAAAAAGGATCTTCTGGAGAATGTTCTTTGGTGATTTTTCAGTTCGATGGTATAATGTCGTTTTTATTCTATTGGTTAAAAATCGCAGAACATTCAACTTGGAATCTTTTGACGTATTTATTTGTACGTCATTTTTTCAACGACTTATATTTCATTTTAACTTTTTTATATTTTTATACAATAAATTCTGGGAAAATGATAATAGTTGGTTGGATTATTTACAGTGTATATGTCCAATAAAATGTATTAATTTGCCACCAGGGACAACTAGAAGCAAGAGATGTAAACGATTTTACTGTCTCTCTGTTGACTCCTCACACTCTATGTAATTTTACTTCAACAGATGAAGTACATAAAGTTGATATTCAACGTGAAATGATTACCTGCCTGTAAAAAAATAGAAATGTTTAGGCTAAATGTCCATAGTTTTCGTGTTCGTGAATAATAATTCCCACTTTTTCAGTGTCAGAATATGGAATTATATAAACTGGTGTTGGTTAATCCTTTGTTGTGAGAAATTACAAAGACTGATCACAAACAATATATATAGATATTTTTAATTTTCCAACCAGACTTTCTGAGATATTCTGGAGTTTATCAAGAAAATTAAACATATTAAAATATGTTAATGTTGACAAGTTAGCAACCAGACTTTCTGAGATATTCTGGAGTTTATCAAGAAAATCAAACATATTAAAATATGTTAATGTTGACAAGTTAGCAACCAGACTTTCTGAGATACTCTGGAGTTTATCAAGAAAATCAAACATATTAAAATATGTTAATGTTGACTAGTTAGCTTTTGAGAATTACTCTTAGCAACAATTATTTTTTTTTGTAAACTGTCGAAACTTTTTGAAACTTTGAACTTCAAAATCAAAGTCTAAAACCTTTAAGCTCTTAAAGGGACCCCGTTGTAAAAAAGTGAATACTTTATCTACAGTATGTCCGAAAAGTCCAGAACCAGAGGCACTTCAATGAACTTTATAGAAGTTTGGATTAACTCGACCTTCTCATGCTTTGACTTAATCAGACATGTTTCTGCAAATCATCTGTGGTTCGGTTCCAGACTTTTCGGAAGGCTAACAAAGCTTTCATGGTCTTTTCATGAAACTTTAATCCTAATATTCGAAAGCTATTGTTCAACATTAAACACATTGTAACTCAGAGTTCAGATTGTTGTCGTTAGGGTTAATAATAAGGTACAAGCAATGAGTACTTATCGGAACTTCAGATAAATATGAACGAACACTGATATATCACATTAATTATCTTTTTTTTTTTCAGTTTCAATAAAACTGTTTTGACGTGTGTAATAAATAATGAACAAGTCTTCCCTAAATAAAAACACCATTTATCGAAATGATAGCATAATTATCAGGAAAAGGTATAAAAATATGTCGTTCTTTTTATTTGGTTATTATGCATAAAATTCCCTTTTTACAGTTAGAGACAGGTCAGGCTGAAGGTTTTGCCCAGCAAGTGGCAGAACTTCGGCAGAAAAACTCTGAACTGGAGAAAATAAAAACTGATTCTGAGAAGGAATTAGCCGGGGCGAAAGAGGAGTCCAAGCGGTCAGCATCTGAACTCGAGCGGTTACTGCAAATTATGACCTCCACAGAGGAAGAAAAGTTTGCTCTGAATCAGCGTATCAAAGAACTGCAAGAGTACGCTTTATTTCTCCCGTACAATGTACGGATTTTATGAATAGCTTAATCGCTATTAATGTTCAGGATATTTCCTGACTATACGTTTTTGATGACGTGTAATTAGTTAATAGATCATTGTTAACATCTAAAGAACTTCTTTGTTGGAACTCGCGCAAAACTTCACGAGGGCTATTTGTACTAGCCGTCCCGAATTTAGTAGTGATAAACTTATAAGGAAAGCAGCTAATCAACACCACCCACCCCAACACTTGTCAAACGATAAAGTGGTATTCAACAGTCACTATTATATCGCACCCACGGTTCCAAAACGTGGAATGCGAAAGCGTTTTTTGTTGAACTATATATTTGAGGATTTGCGGGTCGCGGGTTCAAATCCGCAACTGAACATCCCAACCTTCCAGCGTTATAATGTAACAGTAAACCCAGCTATTCGTTGGTTACGCTCCCAGGTGGTACAGCGTATGTCTGCAGACTTTTAACGCTATAAACCGGGTTTCGATTACTCGTGGTGGGCAGACTACAGATAGCCCATTGTGTAGTCTTGTGTTTAAACTACAAACAAACATACCTTTTGAAATATTAATATTTAATTTTCTTTTCTTGGAATACAGTATTCTATTAAGTCAATATTACTTAGCACATTTAAAAATAATTTATTAGTATCTTATGTCACAATTTAAGCTAATTTTTCGCAATTTTCTTTATCTGTTTTCCTTTTAAATTTCCATTGTTCAGTGATACAATTCCTCTCCAGCGGCTCCGCGGCAAATCTGCAGGCTAAACTCGCTGAAAATCGGGTTTCGATACCCGTGGTGGGCAGACTATAGATAGCCCATCGTATAGCTTTGTGCTTAACTTCAAACAAACAATCGTTGGTTAAAGGTAGTCCAAGAGTTGGTAGTGGGTGGTGTTGACTAGGAACCTTCTCTCTAGTCTATCACTTCTAAATTAGGGACGGATAGCGCAGATAGCCCTCAAGTAGCTTTGATTGAAATTGAACAAACAAAGAAACAAACTTTCTTTAGAAAGTAGAATTGTCGTTACAATTCGGAGGAAGAGGTAAAAAATGTGATTTGTTGATATATTTGACACCGTGAAAATAGAGAATTGTCTCAAAAATCAAGGAAATTCATTATATTTTCTTATAACTGACATAATCGTTTCTACCCATATTTTTAAACATTAAGTTTGTAAGTTGAAAGGTTTTAAGTATTTTACAACTGAACCTTACACATGACATAAAAACTGTTTCACACATTCCTATGTTTTCTGTGAGTTCTCAACAAGTAGATGTAAGGCATAACAAATAAATAACATTATTGTTCTAGTATTTTCAGTAAATAAATGAAATATAATGTGAGAACATACTTGACTTATACAGAAGTTCCCCGGTTTGTCAGTGATAATTTTACGGACTTACAACGTTAAAATCCGGGGTTCGAGTCCCGGCGATTGACACAGCAGAGAGTCTAACGTGGCTTTGTACTAAAGTAAATCATCAAGTCTACTCAGAAACGTTCTTCTCAAAGGTCATAAAATAAAATAAAACAAAAAAAACGTTTTTTTATAATCACTAACCAATAAATGGTTAATACCTACATTCAAATTTTGGGTATTATTAGACGTTACGAAAACGAAGCTTTTTTAAAAATCAATCACTTTATTATTAAATGAGAGTTCAGATTAAAATACTGAACGTTTTTTCCCATATTCTGTAGTTTATTTCTTACATGACTCAGTTGCCCTCTTATTTCCATGAAGTTCACACAAAGAGGTAGAACCATCTTCATATAAACACTGCTTGCAGTTCTACACATTATAAATCTTATACCATCTTTGAGTAAAAACTTTGATTTGTTTGTAGTTCAAAAGATGAGATATTTCCTGGCGAATAAGATACATAACTAACGAACTGAGGATTTTTAAGTGAAAACAAACCTGTAGAATTTGTATAGGTTACTAGAAACATTAAAACATCTTTGTATCCGTGTTAATTTGTAGAACTGTAGAAGATGCGTTACTGGGCATTTTGAATGTGTATGTTTTGTAACAGAAGACATGGGGTGTCCTACTGTAAGACTTACGATACCATGATCACGCACGCGCTCTTATTTTCCAGCTCCCTGAAAGATAAAGAGGCTAAACTGAGTAGTATGAGGAAGAACCAACAGGCTGTTCCAATGTTAGAAGATCCTCGGAGGAGAAACGTTGATCAAAGAAGAGATTCCCAGAAGGGCCAGGTAAATACAACCAAGGGGGGTCTTTGTTAGTGTATTTTACATTCCCTGTTTAGATCCCTACTGTACATTGGGGCTTTGATAGTGTATTTCACATTTCCTGTTTAGATCCATACTGTAGATTGGGGCTTTGCTAGTGTATTTCACATTTCCTGTTAGATCCATACTGTAGAATAGTTGCAGGACATTACTATAAACAATATAGATCAGTCTTGAAATACTGAATTTCTGATGTGGAAGTTGTTGTATTTTAGTATCAAATGAAACAAGGTAACGTAGTAGGATTTTTATATTATTAATATATACACTGAGTGGTCACAAGTAAATAGACACCTAATTTTTCATCATTTAACTGATTTATGCTAACTAATTTGTGTTCAAAGAGCACTATATATATGAAAATGGTCCGCACACTAATTATCAT